ATATATACCTACATGAGTTTCACTATAAATGTATTAGTTCAATTCTCACCGCTGCATAACATCCATTATTTTGATTTTCTTTACAAGCATGTGGGGTTTATCATTGTCAAATACAAAGGAAGAACATTTCCACTATATACGGGAAGGCTTTTCAAACAGATGGCTTCCACAAGCGGAGGAATCTTTTTGTTCTATCCTTCTACATTACATCCAATCAGAAGGTTGAACTCCGAGTTTGACATAGATATGGCATTTGATAGAATTCACAGAAGTTGCTTGGGTGAAATTGGCCAGAATTTGACTTTAACAGAATGCTACACCACATTCATGGTATTGAAAGAAATATTTTATAGAACATCTATTGGGTGTTTTTGATATATATGCAAAAACCATCTATCTTGACGAGGACATTCGGGAGGAAGCATTTGAGGTACGTAAGTTGAACCACAATTCCTTTTTTTCGTTTTTCTTTTGTTTTTGTTATATAAATATGTTGTATTATAAACATTCTCTTAACTCCATTTGTTATGTAATAATGGTAAAAGTACATTCTTGATTGTGTAATTCGAGTATATCATATGCTCTCAAGTTTGGGCATTAGCATATCATTACTGTAGCAACAATCCTGAGCCTTTATGGGACACCTTGAAGACAATTTTCGAACCCCTACAGCTTGACCCATATCTTGGTGAAATGAGAGCGAAAGATGAAAGTAACCTTCGCAAAATTGACCAAGTTGTTCGCGACTACTGGGCCGAAGAAAGACGTATGGCAGCGCAAAGAAGAAGGAGAGGAAATTGAGATTGTTGTCACGTATGTTGGTGAAATTTTGGCAATTGTTGCGTTGTATATATTCGAACTATTTTATTAAAATAAAATGACTTTTCTGTCATTGTGTTTGTAATCTCCATTGATGTGTGTACTGTTATTTCATATTTGATATAAAAAGTATTGTCAAATGAATTATTATTGTTGTTGAAGAAGGGTGTGTTTATGTATAACATATTTTAGCACACATTATTTCCAAGTAAAAATCGTTCATCAAAATTATTCTATACTTGAAGTGATGGACTTTATAATAGAAATTGTAGTATGGACTTTATAAAAGGAAAATAAAAATAAAAGAAATTGTATTATGGACTTTATAATAGAAATTGTAGTATGGACTTTATCAAAAATCGTTCACCAAAAAAATAAAAGAAAAAAAAAAATTGTAGTATGGACTTTATAAAAAAGTTCCCTGCAACCATGAATGTTGAATGCATTTGAAAAATAATTTTCTTCAACATTTTTTTTTTTATTTTATTCTATAATTGAAGTGATGGGAGACAAAAGCTACTGTAGGTGCAGAAAAGTGTATGGGAGTTGGCGCATGACCCATAGAGTGTTGAATACAAATCTGGTAAAATACTAGTAAAGTTATTCTACTTTTCTAGTTAAAAACTAATAAAACCGGTTTCTAGTTGATATCCAATCGCCCCCTTAGGGCGTCCCCAACGGACTGGCTCTGAGCTAGCTGACTAGGATGCCATGCTGAGCTGGATGAAAGAGAATGCCACAAATCCTCAGCGCTAGCGACGAACTCCTCGCCTAGCTATTTGTGTTTCCCAAGAAACGCTCTCACAGAACAAAGCTGGTAGGAAAATAATAAAAAAATACTGACATATGGGACCCATGAACTGATGTGGCACCAAATCTCCAGCAGCCTACTATTACCGTTGGAGATGCCCTTATCAGTTTTAATTACATAAATGAAACATCATTGTAACTATTAACAAATATACAAAATCTCACCTTCTTACTTGAAAAATTATCAGATAATTAAGTCACTGTAATTAAAGGTGACTTATCACCTTCCAAACTTAATGGGATTTATTTTCCCCTCTCTCTCTCTCTCTCTCTCTCTCTCTCTCTCTCTCTCTCTCTCTCTCTCTTCTTCTTCTTCTTTCGACCAATTATCTCCTCTCGATCGGGCTCTGTTTTTTCTTTTCATTCACATATACACATATATATAAAGGTCGAATCTTTAATTTAATTTTGATCGATAGAAAGCAAAAATCAACGAAAGAGAAAAAAGCCCTTTTCGTTTTTGTTCATCATCTGCGAAAAAAAATGGTGAAAAGCGGTTTGGGACTTGAAACGGAGCTGAGGCTGGGGCTTCCTGGAGGCGGCCGCGGCGGCGACGAGGTGGAGATGAATGAGATTAAGAGAGTGTTTTCGGATGTCTCTAGCGCCGGTGGCAGCAACGGGGAGGAGGAGGGGAAGTTAGAGGCGGTGGGAAGTAAGAATCAAGTTGTGGGGTGGCCGCCGGTAGCGGCTTATCGGAGGAAAAATAACTTCGGTTGGACTAAGATGTAATGGACGGCAGAAAATTGGAGTTATATGTTCGATATACATATGTTTTGTATATATGTTCGGTATATATAAACCCAGAAAATTTGAGTTATTTTCTGTATATGTTCTGTATATGTTCGATATATGTTCGGTATATATATGTTCGGCTGGATCTGGTGTAATTTTTCAGTATATGTTTTGTATACGTTCTGTATATGATTAGTATACATATATAAACCCAATATATATATATATATATATAAATATATATATATATATATATATATATATATATATACGAAAAAAATATACTACATATATACGTAAACCAGTTTCAAAACGAAGATAATACTTGATTTTTTTTTAATATATTACGGGATAGAATCAGGAAGATCGACTTATTAGGATATATACACTTACCATTTAAATGTACAATTTTATGTGCAAAAATAACGGCTGACTAACAAATTGAGATATTTAAGGACAATGATATCTCAATTAATTTCCATTTGATATGAACAAATTCCTAATTAGTAGAGTATTTAAACTAATTATCGTGTAGCATATTTTTTCTTTCGGCTTCCCCCAAAATCGCCCGCAAACCCTAGCTCTTCCTCTCTGAATTTGAATCGCCTTCCTTGGCGGCGGTGCAATGTCGACCGATGGTCGTGCTCGACCGTCGTCTCACCTCTTCTGATCCGGACCTCAGGTGTTGCTGCGGAGCACAAGTGATGGATGGCTCTGGTTTTGTTTGCCGGTGTTGTGGAAATTGGAGGCGACGAGCTTGCCGGCTGTCGATCGGGTTGCTATTGGCGGCGTCATCCACTGGCGGTGAGTTCTCCACCAATTTCTCCTTTGGTTCCCTTGCCTGATTCTGAGTGCGAACTGAGGGCCCCTCGGGCGGTCCCGTCTTTCTGGTGGATCTTCGTTCGGGGTCTTCTTATCCTGGCGCCGGTAGACTGCGGTGGTATCCGGTGGTTTTTGGACCGAGAGGCGGGGCGGGGCTCTGATGGTGTGTCGGAGTTGAGGGCCCGTGCCAACCCCCTATTCCGGCTAGTGGTGTTAGATGGTGGGTCTGGTGCTCCTATGCTTGGCTAGTGGTGTTAGACGAGCTTGGGAGTTGCTAGCGTGGGTGTGGTTTCGGTTGTTCCTCCGGTTGAGGCGGGTCGTTTCGGAGTTTAGTTTGAGTTTGGGATTGTCTTCTTGTATAGGCCTTGTGGCAGTTTCGGAAGTCGTCTCTGGACTTAGGCTATTCTTTGTCATCGACTATTCTCCACTGGTGTGGGCTGGCTGCTATGTTGTGGAAGGGCTTTTTGCTTAGTTGGTGTTTTTCATGTTTTGTTTTGTCGTAGGCTTGTGTTTTGAGTCCATGTTTGTTTTGTTGCTTGTTCTGTTTTTTGGTTTGGGCTATTTGGCCTCTGTGCGCCTGAGTGTCAATCTTATTCTCCTGTTGGGAGCCGACACTCAGGTATTCTCCTGTTGGGAGCCTTGTTAGTTTTTTAGTTTGTTGGTGTAGTAGGTTGGTGTCGTTGTGAGCTTTGTTATTCTAGCGTTGCTAGATCAGGCTTTAGGCGATCTTCGGATTTGTCTCCCAGTTTTTCTAGTCTTCAGTTGTAATATTCAGCCTTTGGCTGCTTCTCTTCGCACGTTATGTGATTTTTTATTAATATAGTACCTCTATCGTTTCGGGAAAAAAAAGAGTATTTAAACTTACTTTCTTTTCTAGTTTGGATTGTGTACATGCGTAATTGTAGCAAGATTATATCTATTTATTTTTTGGTAACCGATAGTTTTTCTTGTGCCTAAATAAATGCACTATAGGTGGTACACGTGCATATAAAATCAACACATTCGTACTAACTAGTACGAATCTCGTGCAATGCACGGGTAAAATATATTTATTACTATTTATAAATAAAAAATTTGCATTAAATAATATTTTATAAATTAAGAATATTGAATCAATATGTAATACAGTTTACCTATATTAATTTTTAAAAATGTTATACGAAATTTGAATTGTACAAAATTACATAAAATATGTATATTTAAAATTAGTACACAACCCATATAATGCACGTAACTAATAATAAATTATATTATATTCATTTCGAAATAATGTTATTTTAAAAAAAAATTATTCAAAATTTCATTTTGACTACAATTTGATTCAATAAAATAAATGTTTTGGTAAAATTTTATCATATATTTAAAAATCTATGTGAATAATACGTATAATTATAAACTTATATTGTTTCATTAACTATAATGAATTTATTTTCGTATGACCTATCCAAATCAAAAAATTTAAGTAGTTGAATAATTTATTAAACTATAAATAATTGAATAATTCATTTGCATCCAAGTGAATATTAGCATAAGTTACGAATAACTATTTATTTGATCTTTAAATTTAGAACCTAAATTTGGACTACACAAATAAACTTTTTTATATATTTCATGTATAACATATATATATATATATATATGTGTATTATATATCTCGCATTTTTTTAGATTTGTCGTCAGTTACCTTATCGTTCAAATTATCAATTATTCTGTAGAATTAAATTACCAATTTTAAATTTTATTAGCCAATGTTTGTTCAAAGATCATTATAATTTTCTAGAGGAATATATCAATTTGTCGAATTATCATCAATATATTATGACAAATTATAATGCGAATATGCTAAATTTTAAGAATCACATCACCTTGATTTTATAAGAATGTGGTTCATCCACATTTTATTGTACATTCTAATCAACCAATTGAGAGATGAGAGAGAAATATTATTACCATTTCTAAAATATCTAATTATTAATTTTTTTTTTTTGTTTCTTATTTATATTTTATTTTTATTTTTGCCAATTGATATTATGTTTGATCACATTGTGCACGCAGATAATTGTTTAGATTTAAAGTTGTGAACTTAAGAAGTATCTTTTGTGGTTCACAATCCATATAAACAATTGACATTTGTCAAAATTTATGTGATAACAACATTTATGCATTGTAAATGCTCTTATCTTGTTTTAAATAATTTCAAATATACTTCTATCCATTCCAAATAAAAATCATACTATTTAAATTTGAACATTTCGTACCAAAAATAAATCGGACATTTATTATTAACAACACATTTTCTACGAAAAGATAAAAATGGCTATCAGATACTTAAAATAAAATCATCAACTTTATACCAAGATTGGATTTATTGATTTTGTCAACTTTATACCATAAATTAATTAAGTAATTTATAAAAGTCATTTCTACATTTTGTCCAAAATATTTTTTAGCGGCCCATAAATGTTATTTATATTTTTGTATTTGGTTATCTTATCTACGAAGAAAAAAATAATCTTGCAACTCTACTATGTCAACAAAAAGATGTATGAAAAATAACATAAGTATTAATTTATTATGTTTTACTCAATACATGAAATCTGTTTGTCCCATTTTTGTGCCATTTTAGGTCATTTTTACCGTTCTTTTTCCCCTATATTGAGTCGTTTAGGTAGTTTTAGGTTCTTTTTGTCGTTTATTTTGTGTTTTACGTTCATTTGAGTGTTTCAGTGTTTTCCGTTTGTTTTCTGGTCTTTTTCTGTTCTCTTTTCGTTTTTGGTGCGTAGTTTGGAGACACCGGAGGAACAGGTTTTCGAGAATCTATTGGGAAAACTGACACCATTAGAAAGAGAGGCTCGTTAGCGACGCGTAGGAAAAAACGGAACTCAATTCCGAGTCCGAACGAGCCCGTACGAGCAAAAACAAAGACGACGCGCAAAGCTGCCCAGGCCATAGCGCCGCTATGGCCATAGCGCCGCTATGGCAAACCTAGATAGCGACGCTACACTGCAAAGCGATGGGCAGAAGCTAGAGCATCCCCAGCTATAGCGGCGCTATGGCCATAGCGCCGCTATGCCCTGATTTGTAACTGCTGCGTTTTTCTCGGATTTTTGAATGGGAGGCTTATTAGATCGGACCGAGAGCATATTTTTGACATTCAATACCTTGTTTTTTCGACTTTTCTCCATAGAAAACATCTTTTCTCTCTTAGATTTGCATTTAGATTGGATTTGGAGAGTAAAAACTCCTTTTCTAACATTGGATTTGGATTTCTCGTTGCTTTCTCGACATTGGATTTACATTAATCGTAAGTATTTCTTCTCATTTGTGTGTGATGATGATTTCTTGGGTTGATGTGAATGTTTATGTGAGAATCGAGATGAGTAGCTAAATTCATATGCTAGGGAATAGGGGATTGATGTTTTGAATCGTTTGTGATTATGGGTGTTCGTTGATTGTTCTTCTTATGCGAGTTAAACTTTAATTAGGGTTTTTCAATCATTGTCTTGGATTTTGAAAATTGTTGAAGAGTGACACTTCAACTTGCGATTGTTTCAATTGGGTTTGATAAATTCATACTTGGCATTGTTAATTCTAAACGGACTAGTTGATTAACCCCCTTCTAGTCTAAGTTAATCGACTCTTAGAACCGAAAGGGGATGAGTCGATCGAAATAGGCTCACATAAGCTAGGCTTGTTCGTAACTGTATTGCCTAGAAGTTAAATGACTTGTTAATTTGCCGTTCTAGTTTGTTCTCTTGTTACGAAAAGTTATTGAGGATGAGTACTTGAACGTGTAAGTTATTCAAATCACTTAACTGGACAATCACTAGCCCATCAATTGCAATTCGAACCAAAATGGATATCCCCGACTCCCTAGCTCCCTAAATCCTACGTGTTCTTCGTCCTCGCTTGCTATTTATTTTATTGCTTACTTAATTTCCGTAGTAGTTGATAGTTGAAACCAATCCAATCATTTGAATTAGAATGTTTAGGAGTTTAATTTCTCTTGTGTGATTGAATAAACGTGCAATTTATTCTGGCTAACCTTCCTCGTGAGACACGACCCGGTGTTCGAATCTTTCGATTCTGCTCCGGTAAAAATATACACACCAAATTGGCGCCGTTGCCGGGGAAGGTTTAGGATATATTTTGTGCGCTTGTTCACTTTATTATTT